TTATTATTAATTTATTGAAAATAAAAATTAATTTTAATTTTATTAATTATTTAATTAAATTATTTTCTGTAACATTAATATTGAAAATAAAATTTATTTTCATAATTTTTTATATAAATTAATGATAAAAAACACAATAAATACACTATTAAGCATAAGTTAAAAATTAAAGACTTTTTTTAAAAATTATTAATATTAATTTTAACATAAAAAATTAAAAAAATCAGAATGTCTTATCAATTAAAATACAAATAATAATAATGAAAAATGTGTGAACAGTTAGAAAACGGACTGTTAAAACGGCATAAATGGCAAAACAAAGATCGAGGGTGGGCCAAAAAAGTGTGAACAGTCTAAGCACAGTGATGGGCCGTTGGCGTTTGTAAAAATGGTGGAAATGACACGAAACCCAGTAAAAAACACTGTGTGATGGCTTTTGTGGGAGTTAAAAGGATTCGCCATTTATATTTTTGGTGGAGGTGGATAGACTACGTCAGCCACTTAGACGACCAAAATAAATAAATATATATTTTTTAACAAATTTGCAAAGAGTCATATTTCAACAGTTGACTTAGAAGAAAAGAAATACACTTATATGTGACTTGACACCACTATTTAATCCAAATGCGACCAAAACAAATAATTAACTGTAGGATATATGAAAAGTTTCATAGCCATCTTCAAATCATCTCAACTAATTATAATTAGCGTAAATTAAGTTGAAATACTTTGCATTCACATACACCAAACTAATAATATATAAAAAGTTTCATAGCTGTCTTTAATCATCTCAACTTTAATTATCATAAATTAAGCTGAAATGCTTTACATTCACATACACCAAACCAATAATATATAAAAAGCTTCATAGCTATCTTCAAATCATCTCAACTTTAATTAGTGTAAATTAAGTTGAAAGACTTTTGCATTCACATACACCAAACCAATAATATATAAAAAGTTCCATAGCCATCTTCAAATCATCTCGAGTTTAATTGGCATAAATTAAACTAAAATATTTTGCATTCACATACACTAAACCAATAATATATAAAAAAAGTTTCATGGCCATCTTCTAATCATCTCAGCTTTAATTAGTATAAATTAAGCTAAAATACTTTGCATCCACATACATCAAACCAATAATATATAAAAGGTTTCATAGTTATTTTCGAATTATCTCAACTTTAATTAGTGTAAATTAAATTGATATACTTTGCATTCACATGCACCAAATCAATAATTAAAGCTAATGATTATTACCTTCGTACGCTTTCTTTTTAATGTCATTTTTAGTGTTTGAATTTTTAATTTTAATTATTAAACTATTTTTTTTTACTTTTTTCATCATTAAACTATACAAATATATTAAGTCGATATACATACATATCTTTAGTTCTTAAATTTATAATACATATATATTTGTAGTCTTTGAACCATATATTATGGACTAAAAATATGCACATATGGATAAAATTAATGAATTAATTGATAAAAAAATTTAAAAAAATAGATTTTTCATAATTCTTTTTTCCTCTCTCTCCCACTATTTCTTTCAAGTTTTCAATGTACTGGTAGGTTTCTTGTTCTTTGCTTTAAATATTATTCACAAAAACATGATTCTAGTCCTATTTATGCCTGATTAAGTGAGAACCATAATTTGTTAAAAACTGCATCTACTAAAAATGGCATTGACAGCCATACCGTCTCCATCATTCATGTTCTGCAGAAGGGTGCTAAGAGAAAAGTTGGAAGTCTCCAGTTTGGTTTTTGTTTGAAATCTTAAAATGGGAAACTTGGGTGGGTTGAGCTAAGCACTCAAATTGTGTTCATTTGAAGAAGCATTTTTTCTTTCTGTGGCAGGATTTGGTTTTTGAAACCAAATGAAGTATGATATTATTTAGTTAATGAGAAGATAGAATTTTCGTTGATTCTTATTTACTTTTCGGAATCTTTTCTTGTAATTTCTTCATGTGGCAGTTAAATTTAAGATTAAGTGAACATTTTTGTGTTTTACTAAAATGAGAGTTAGATTGATTAGTATGTATCTGAGTTTGTATTTTCTCAAGTGGATACATGGAACCGAAAGATTCTGAACTCATTGTGGAATCACTCGGACATTTGTAATTTTGTACATTTCCTCATCACTTGGGGATTTGTACATTTCCTCATCACTCGGACATTTGTACATCCACTATGTTCTGGATTCATTCACGTGAAAAGGGTGACATGTAGGCAACTAGGCATATTATGTCAAAAAGTCACAAGCTTGAAATATGCACCCACAGCCCGCTCTAATCTTTGAGTGAATTGTGAATCCCATTAATTAATTTCCCTTAAGTATTATCTTTTCCGTTATTTTTTAAATAATTTTAATGTAATATTTTGGGTTTTAGAATATAAATTTTGTATAAAAATAAATTTAATAATTTACATAAATAATAATTAAAAAATTT